ATAGATAGATAGATAGATAGATAGATAGATAGATAGATAGATAGATACTTTATTAATCATGAGTGAAATTTAATTATTCGGCAGCCAAGTGATGCACCAAGGCAGGTTGGTGAACACACAGACAAAAACTCGATAGGTAGCAATATAATACACAATTTTGTATATAAGTTTAAATAACTAAGTATAAAATATAAAATGTTTAAATAGTTCTGATATGAATGTCAATATGGGCATTTCTCCTTATGAACAGTGTTCTGGGGACAGGAGAGCTCCTCAGTCTGTTTGTGGAGCTGCTTAGAGAAAACAGTCTGCTGCTGAACATGCTCCTTTGTCTGATCAGTCTAGTCTAGTAGGTGTTGTGTGTCGTCCAGGATGCACAGAGTCTTCTCCTGGTTCTGTCTCTCTTCCACTGACACCAGAGAGTCCAATTGCGTGCCTACCACATCTCTAGCTGGCAGGTGCAGGATGGCTTTCCCTTTCCACCCCCTGGCTGCTGGGGTTGGGTGTTAAGGAGGTTTGGAGGCAGATTTGCATTAAAGTAAAACCTGTTAAAGGCATGTTTAAACTGTTTAGCTTTTTTTGTATCCTCCTCTGTGGTGCTGGTGCTCTTTTTGCAACCTATGATGGTTTTCATCCCCTCCCAGACTACTCTTATATTGTCTTTGCTGGCCCTTGTGATCGAGGGCTAGTGATTTGGGAAGCAGTGCAGAAGTTCATGTAGTCTGTAATGCATCGTGTGACCCCCTTAATGTCTTCACTTTCCTCACACTTCAATCAGTGGTCTCAAAACAGTCCATTAGAGCCTCCTCCGTCTCAGGACACCATTTCCTAAAAAGAGCCAGAGGTAGTGGGCTGGCTCTTTATCGTTGGCTTGTACATTTGCTTTAGAGAAACCAGGCTATAATCTGATATCTCCAGTGGAGGTATGGCAGTGGCAGACTTTGACTCTTTAGAGCTGGCATATAGGAGGTCTATTGTTTTATTCAGCATGGTGGGGCAGTGAACAAACTGGTGGACATCTTGCAGAGTATTGCAGGGTGAGGGAAATGGTAAGGTGGGTAACATGCCCTCGGGGAGCCCGTTCGAGTGCCTGAGCAGAAAAAGGGGAGTCAGGGGGAACGAGGGGAATACACTTTATGAACAAGCGCTGCATCCATATGCGCTCATCCGCCCCTGAGTTGAGAAATACCCCAATAGAAAAGGCTATGAAGGCAGTGAAACTGGAGGGTTTGTTATTCAGTTTACCGTAGCAAACAAGACACAAGAGTTGTTTCCCCTGTTTTTTATGTTTTCATGAAAATAACTGTCCCTTGTTCTATGTGTTGTCTGGTTGAACACAGACAACTTTTCTTTGTAGATCTCCAAATGAACCTGGAGCTTTGGCTTATGCCATTTCTGCCCGGCTCTTCAGCACTCCCTTTTTTGTGCCCTAACCAAGTCTTCTATTGTTCATGGTGCCTTTTGTGTACATTTAACAATTCTAACCTTGACAGGAGCAATGGCATCATAAACATTTAAGACACTTTATGTGTAAGAGTTCAATAGATCATCAAAATTGCTTCCATGCAGTAATTTAATAAACTAGAGGAAAAACATGAAAATGTATGGTAAAAATTAAAACATACTCAGCTCTGTTCCAGTCGTGTCACATAAGAGTGCAGAGCTTGCAAAACAGCATGAAAGCAAAAATTGATTGCAGTCAGGTCTGTCAGTGGTTCCAATCCAAGTTTCTCAATGGTGGACACTGATATTTCCACTCATATTTGGCAAGCCATTAAACCCTAAGCCCTCAGTATACCCATTTGTGTTAATGTTCAGAGTAAGGTGTGGCATTTGTAGACTATTAATCTTTAGTTTGTTTCAATGAAAAAAATAAAATGATTTGTGTGAGGGCTATTTACCATTTCTGTCCAGCAATGAAGTCTTTGCTTCTGTAATCATGATCAAGTTTAAAATATGTTGATGAAAAGAGCTGCATTATGTGGTTTGTGTTGATTCAATTCAAAAACAGTTTTAATCCCCAAAAGGGAATGATATTGCTATGGTATAAATACTATATAGCTAATAAAGTGAAAGTAACCACCAGCTCAAGGGCCTTTGGAGTACCCCCAATCACAGCGCAAGCCTTATTTAAATGTTTGTAATGTTTTTTGAGTCACTGACTCAACAGATGACTGTAATTAAATTGTCTCTCATTGAAAACGTATAGAACATCTATAGCATCTCTCTAAAAATGAAGAACTCATGCTTTCCTAACTGTAACTCTTCCCATCCTCATGAATTAAGCTAAGGTGGTAGGATCAGGATTGGTATCGGTTTCCATAAGTTTGAGATTCCTTTCTGAACCCAGGAAGATTCCTTTGTTATTTGTGTTCTTTCTTTGTTTTCTTTTTTCAGTTACCTGTGCAAACATTTCAGCAGTTACTTGCCTCTATTGTAACTCTAGTACCTACTATATCAGCATTATTTACAACTGTTAATGTTACTTAC